TAGACAACTCTTAGTTACTTGATCAAAAATCTTGCAAAACATCCTTGCCATTTTTCAAACACACATCACAACACAACTTCAAAACAAACTTTCGAAAACATTAAATTATCTTTTCAAAAAGACATACACCTTTGTATATATTCGAACAAGAATCATTACAAAGGTTTCCTAGACAAGACATATTTTTCAAAACATTTTCAAAACCACACACACAAAACACCATTTCAAGCAATTGAAAAACAAAGGCAAGTGATCTAAAACAAGTAACTAAGAGCCCATGGATAACCATGGATGAAAAGGGTGCCAGCACCTTCCCTTTTCATAATCTACCCCCCGAACCCAAGAAACAAATCTCAAAGGTCTTTCCTGTGCTTTTTGACCTTTCCTTAGGATAAAATAAAAAGTTGGTGGCGACTCTTGCTAAACTGAAACATTTGCGAACACAAACGCAAAATCTCAAGTCAGTTCTCCCACCGTATCACAATGTTGTAGGCTTATGGCCAACGTTGATTTATGTTAAGTTGTTGGTTGTTGTTGTTGTTGTTGTTGTTATATTCATGTTGTGTCGCATACATCACATATCAAGTTAGAGCTAATGCTCGTTAAGTTGGCCTGGATTGGCAAAATATTAAGTTGAAGGCTCATGCCTTATTGATGCCTCTATTTATTGGTAGATTTTAAAGTTGGTAGTTCTGTTCCATTGGTACCACATGTATTTGCATAAAGACAAGTTACATTCTGTGTTGCATTCTGAATCGTTGTGTGATTGATTTGATTATGCTTATGTTGTTAAGATCTAAGAAGTGGTGAATATGTATGAACTGATTCTAATTTTTCATGTATTATACGCTCTATTATATTGTTCGATATCTCACACTTTCTGTTTGAATGTTATCCGATGTTGGTAACATGCAGGTAATCAAGAATGAAGGCGGTTTACTTTCAGTAGTTCGAGTTGGTGTCATTGCTCTGATACGTAACACTCGGTGGGATGAACGCTTGCTAGTTTATTATTGTTATTATTTCATCTGTTGAATTTTACGTTGTTTTTTTAGTTGAATGCTTGTTATTTGAAGTTGTTTAGTTGGACAAAGATGATATATTCTTTTAAGTTGAATATTTGATTCCGCTGCGTAGTTATGAAAGTTGTTGGTTTTAAAAGATTAATTTATGTCGTTGTTGGTTCATCCAAGTTTAATGTGTTATGTATCTGCAATGAATGTCGTTGTTTAAAGTTGAATTTGTAGCATCCTTATTCGGTTGTCGGAATTTTGTAACTCTGACTTTTATATTAATTGTCGGGTAGAATTGGGGTGTTACAAAGGGGACAGAGAAAATTTGACAGAAAAAGAGTTTACGTAGAGAAGAATTTTCACAGAGGAAAAGAGACTCTCGCTCGGATCTTTGTTAACCCGCCGCTCTTGGAATCGCCGCCGCGTTGTCTTACCAGATATCACCACACCGGAGCTACCCTCAATGAAGATCTAGGGTTTCAACATCTGAAACCCTAGTCTTTTCTTCCTTGATTCGTCGTTCGAACTTGCACACACAAACAAAGGAGACGGGATCAGAACCAAGAAAATCAGGCGAACCAGGGAGAATACAAGAAGGTTCATAACGATTCACGGTAAGCCGCAAGACTTAGCTTTTGTAAAACTTTATTCACTAAGTAATTTTTGTTGCGGGATTCAATCTCGGGTTTCAATTGGGGGGTTAGGGGTAAACGGTGACGATTTGGGACATTTATTGTGCTAGGGTTTTTTTGGTTGTATGGAGAGAGAGGGGAGAGAACGAGAGACTGGGTGAAGACAGAGAGAGAGAGAGAGAGAGAGAGAGAGAGAGAGAGAGAGAGAGAGAGAGAGAGAGAGAGAGAGAGAGAGAGAGAGAGAGAGAGAGAGAGGGATGAAATGATTGAAGTTAAATGTAAAACAAAATTATATTATGTTGTATCATCCCGTGCTCGTAAATCCACCGTAGTATCATACTTCTTCAGCTACCGCATCCACATGATCTCAATCCAACGTTTCTGATGCGTGTGCCCACAACATTACCGTATGTACATCCACACAAAGTCCAAACAGACTCCCAAACCTTTAGGTTAGGCCCAACTATCCACACCCTCTTTCAATTTTTGCTTTTACTAACACGCGCAAAAACATACCCCCAGCATTTTGGACCATGCTATTAACACCTCCCATTTTTACTTCTAAACTAAATTCACACACCCCTGGGTTTTAATTTATATTCTTTATTATTTTATTTTATTTTTATATTTTCTATTTAATATATTCATAGATTTAATATTATTATTATTAAATCAAATAATATTTTTTTCAACTCATTCAAATATATTTTATTTATTGCATTAAATTATTTTAATCATACATTTAAGTAAGATATTTTTTATAATACATAAAAAACATTTGACCAACACCAAATCTTTTTTTTCATAATTAATTAATTCAACAATTAATTTTCAAAAAGTTACGAATATATTTTAATTAACTACGCGCTTGGTTCAAAATCTCTGTTATTCACACACCTGAACTAAGTAGAAGGGGAATTAAAATATGCGTAATCCATAAAAAAACATAAACTCATACAAACTATATTGGAACTTTGATTCCTCATAAGAGGATATGTAAGCATACGATTAAAATCATGGCGAGTTCCTCTATTAAAAAATTAAAACCCTTACCCTAAACCTTTAAAACCTAAACCTTGGTATCCTTGCGAACAAAGTAGATGAGGGGTGCTTAACACCTTTCCTTCGTCTAAGCGAAGTCAGAACCTAGAATTTGTGTATAAAATTAGAGTTTCCTATTAGATTCCCTTCCTTAGGATAAAAATTAGTAGTGACGACTCGATTTAAAAACCAGTTACAACAGTTGGAGATGTAATATAAAAACAACGTAGAGTTGACTGAAGACCCTGACACCGATGATCTACGGGATGGCTACCACAGGGTGTGTATTGAGGTGTTTTTTCCTATTCTTGGTTTGTATACATGTTTGTGGATAAAAGTGCAACCTACGTGGATATGACATACCTCAAATATTTCATCGACTTGGAGATCATTCACGAGTGGAAATGAGGGGCCACATGCTTTGTATACATGTGCTCCAAGTTGAGCGAAGGTTCTTGTTAGAGGACAAAGCAAATGACAAACTCATGCACCATGCTTACAATAATTTTCTAAATCCCACTATTAATTTAAAAATAACTTTTTTTATGCTTGTTACTAATTTTTTGCTTATTCATTTTTAGGGATGAATCCTTACCCACTATCACCGCATATACAGGTTTGGGTGACCCATCATCTACTGAAAATTATCCACGTGCTTTTCTATATCTCCCGCGCAAAGGAATGATGTCGTGGTGTCGCTCCATATATATATATATTGATCGGACTCAGCATGATGACATCTTCTAGATGCGATACACTACTCACTGAGATAAAATTTCATTCGACCATATTTTATTATATTCTTGATGATTGACATGTGAGACTAATATAATGTGTTTGTATCTTTCAGAACAGTGCATGCAACAATTTAGATATGTGCAAATCATCTTGAGGTCCCCTTCTAGGCTGCTCCTGAGAGCATTTTTTGCAGACAACTGAATGACATTCTAATAGATTTTGAGAGTCGTCTGGTACGGGAGGAGTATCGAAGTCAGAAAGTCACGTCAGAGTGACATTATACTGAGAGTTATATGACTTAGTTTTATTATGTGTCGCGTCCTTACATGACACCAGACGCTCCTAGACGTTCACCCAGGTCTGCTCATGAGGCGATCATGGAGAATGAGCAGGCCAATGATGATCATGTCGTTGATGTGTTGCTGATCTATCAAAATATTATACAGATGACAGGAGAATGCATTGAGTCTAGACTGTTTGAGAGAGATGACGATGAAACGGTTTTCCTAACACGTTCTATTCTTACTGAGACACAGAATACCTTGAATTACCGTAGACAGATACATCTATGAACTATTTTATTTGATTTAGTTAAGGAAGAAAGGTGACTTCGAATATCATCTGCGAATTAACTTCAGAAAACTTTGCAGATACATCTCTGAACGAAATTTAATTTAAAAATAAAATTTAATACGTTCGAAGATGTATCTCCAAATAAACTCAAGAGTATTTTAGAGTTTTCAAAGGTGACTCCATAAGAGCACAAAGAAAGATTCCCTAAAAATACAAGTCTAACTTAAAAAGGCTACGGGCTCTGCCAATTCTTGATTCGTTTTTGCCAAGTATCCTTAGTTCCGTAAGTTGTCTTTATACTTAGTTTTATTGGAATATATAGACTCCTAATGTGTCTAATATTCGAAATGTGTCAAAAACTAATAAAACCCTACATGAAAGAATGTTTCAACTCAAAACATCCAAATTCACATTCGAACCCATCAAATGTCTCATCTTAGTAATACTTCAGGATCAAAATATAATCATTCTAATCCTTCATACTCAGTTTCAAAATAAAACGAATATGAAGCAGCAAAAGGAGGTGATCATGTCTTGTTTGTTCAGAAAGGCTCGATTGACTCTTATCTTCCTTTGAGCAAACAAAAGAAGGGGTTGGTCATGTCGGTTGAGAATGCAGTGTATCATGAGTTCGAACTGCATGACTGGGTTTTACTTTTGACACAAAAATTGCAATTCTGGCTACTGACTTCGTTACTTAGTCTACCTGACCATTTTATTGTCATCAGATAGGCAAGTAAGATGCCATTAACTACTGAAATGACTAACCACTAAAACCTTAGAAAAACATTGGTGCAATTATATAACAGATAAACAAATTGTAAAATAACAACAAACTACAGAAACGCTAAAACTCCAAGTTAAGAGAACAAAAAGTACATTTGCCTAGACAATTTCTAAATGTAACAGTCTAATCAGAAAACTATGGGGTGCTGCGGTAGGGCGCCGCAATGACATCACACCTTAATTTAACAGCTCGTGAGACTCACCAGTCACCACTTTACTAACAAAACTTCCAACGGTTGTTGCAGTTAACACAAGTGACATACGTTGTCATAGGTTCATCAGCACTACGAGTCTGCATTTGGTAATAGGTGGTTTTCCTTTGACCACACCTACCACACTTGAATTGATCAGTAGTAGCTTTTGGTTGACCTCCACGCTCACATTCAAACAAAGCCTTCTTCTCGAGTTTCTCAATCTGCTGCTTCCTTTGTTCACTGGCCATTTCTGCTGAAGTCATGTCGACTAGCCGCTGCGGCTCAACAATACCGAGCAGAACTTTTCTTCGGAAATCTGGATTATTCTGATCCTTAAGATTAAACATTAATGACCTATACTTGACCTTTTGGGCTCCATTTGAAGGACCCCACTTTTCAAATAATAGAGACTCCACTGTCACTGCAACACGAATTGGGTCACATGCATTTACTTCGTCCATCATATCTTCATCTGCCTCTTCAAAGACCTTAGATAAAGCATCTCCGAGAAGTTCCCTTATTTTGTCTCGTGCTGAATCATTAGATTTGATCATAGTCTTCAGCTTTGGAGGAGCAGCAGAGCTGGATGAAATTTTCTTTGCTACCGAAACATGTGTTTCCTCCTTGGCTATCTTTTCCACCTTGATGCTTGAAGAACGATCAGTTTTCTCAATTTTGACATCCACATTTTGTGCCTTTACATTTCCAGAGCTCAGCTCTGATGTACCATTCCCATTAACTTTTTCCACTTTGACACTTTCTCCTTTCTCAACCTTCACTGAAGGACTCTTTTGTAATTTCCCAGCTTTAGCTCTCTCCCCATTTGTTGACTCAGCCTTAGAATCTGAGGGCCCAGATTTATTTTTACTTGTTTCCTTGATAATTATGCCTTTCCATATCTCAATTAAGTCAACAGCAAAAGCCCGAATTTTCTGCCTGGGGTGCTTGGTGAGACTTTTAAGATGTCTTCCCACCTGAAAGATGATATCAGAAAATTAAAAATCAAAAGAAATCTTTCCATGAAACGAATACAAGTTTGATATTTCCCTAGCACTTTCAATTTCTATTCCCTGACTTCCAAACACTAGTCTTTTCTAAGTAGTTTTGGACACCTATTTAATTTTCCCTTGAACATTATGTTCATTTTTACCCAATATCTCTTAATCTGTCAATCTCAAACAGATTACTAACTTATATTAATGACTAAAAAAATAAAAACAGAGCACCGAAAAACTTTTCAATGTTGATAACGTTCTTCTGTTAAGATTATTAAATTAAAACCAAACAACCTATATATCAAGCAAGGATATACAGACTCACTACCAAGAAACTATGGTAACATAAAAGTACATGCTTGTAAGTAGAAGGAGACGCAATCAAGCTCCATTAATGGAGCATAAGCTGAAAAAATGAAATACAGGTAGTGTGACACACGGTAAAGGTTATATTATATTACTAATTCACAATCCATACATTCAAACAACATATTCCACATATACAAACCTATCCTAGTGAACAATTAAATGTTGGACAGAAAAAGGAAATCCATCAAAGAGAAAAGGAGTTAAGTACAACAAGTAGAAGCTGAAATACCGTTCCAATTAGAAACAAAAAGGAGCGTGAGGGAAGTAAGAAGAGATGAACGAATGAGTTTAATTAACAGAGTGATTGGAATGAATATAAAAGATTTGTATTTAATAATTTGAAAATCAAATCTTGAGTTTGGAATCAATGTTGTTAAAAGCAAGATCCCTCTCGTGTTCGGTGAGGAGGAACATGTACATTGAGTCGTATTAGATCATAACGCATACACCTATAATCATCCTCGTTGTCGTCTTCACCACCACCACCTCTCAACTAAAATTCAATTAAAAATACGTACGCAAGTCGCAATTCAATTAAAAATACATAAGGAAGTCACAGTACTATAGAAAACTTTTCAAGGGGAAATAATTATAAATAGTCTTTTTGCATCTAGGAAAGATATATTGAGAAAGAAAATAGCGGCGTTTCAACAGAGTTGAGACATGTCAAATGATGATACGCTCAAGTACTAACAAGCCCACGACTTAATGAAGACTATTAAGAATTAGTAGAATGAGGCTGGAGTAGCTAGTTAACTAGATGGGCCTAGTTGGATAGATAAATAAATAGGGGGATCAGATATTAAGGACATTGCTTAAAATTGTTAGCATTATATAAACAGAGGAGTCACTCATTTGTATAAGGAAACTGCGGGAATGGAAGAGAATTCTTTCTCACATTTCAATATATCAACAAAGCTATTCACTTACATTCCTCAAAAGAAGGTAAACATCAACTCAGGTCAGAACAGTATCACAACTCAGTATATCATATAGGAACAAAACGACGATGGGAAAGCAGACACAAAAAGGTTTGCGGTTTCAAGTGTGAGCATCGATTTTTTTCCAAGGAAAATGTGTTTTTTACCACTTAAACAGCAGTGTCTGAACAACAAAAACCATCTGATGCCAGCGACTTACAAGCTATAGCTCGATGATCCTGCAACTATCTCACCAAACAAAAGTGGGGTATAATAAGGATCAAAAGCTCCCATAGAAAACCATAGTATTGGGCAACCTTACAAGGAAGATTGGAACCTTGACAACCGTGTTTGGAACGTTAAAAATGGGACGATAAAGTCCTATACATAAAATGTATGAGCTGATTCTAGCAAAATATACAATTTTGCTTCCCCCATATTCAAACTTGGGACCTTTTCCTGCATAATGAGCTTTCAGCCACCATGTCTCATCCAAATATGATATCCGACTTCTAGATCAAACATAACTGAATGTCATTTACGACAAATCACATTTATCATAGATCATAAAATCCAAATTAGATAACGACAACAGCTTCTAAAAAGCAAATCGCTATGCGAGATCCACATCATCAGAGAATTAAAAGCTTCAGCCACCAAACCACATTCAAATATGATATCCAACTTCTGGATCAAATAATCTAAGTCAAATGAAACCATTCCTAACTTTGATGAATCCAAACACAACAAAATTTCATTCACCACAAATCACATTCATCATAGAACATAAAATCCAAATTAGATAACGACAACAACATCTGCCTGGCGACAAAGAAAAAGCAAATCACTATGCGACATCCACATCATCAAAGAATTAAAAGATTTCAAATATTTATATCACTGCCTCGGTACCCTATTCTTTTATACAATCCCATACCTACGCCCAACCTTAGTAACGATACCCGTATCCATCTTTAGGAAAATCTCAAACCTATACCATGACTCGTTAACAGTCCAATACCCGTGTCTATGCAACATACAAGTTTAAATTAACACCAACAGAAACCCAAGGACCCAATTTATCCCAAAGCATCATTATAACATAAAAACCAAAGATATAAATCCCTAGAAAAAAGTATTCGTAATAATCAGGCGTCCTTTCTTTTAATTCATGAATCAATAAATCTAAAAGTAAACACCACATCTCATCCAAACATACAAATTGATTACTCAATGTACATAATATAGACTAAATCAAAGAAAATCAGCACTCAAACACAGTTCTTAATTTTAAAATGCCTAATCTGAACCTTCCTTTCAATTGAACCCTAACCCTAATAACATGCAATACATCTCAACACAACATTCACCAGTATCCCATCTTCAAAAATTCACCACATATATATAACAAAAAGATTTAAAAAAGAAACAATTGAAAAATAAAAGAAATGAAAATAACAAAATGTGAAGAAAAAAAACCTGGGTATTAACGAGAATTTGATAATTAACAGGAAATTTCTTGAGCTGCTCGAGCGCATCAAGGCATCGGCTTTCTTCGTGCGGGCTATCTGCATCGGTAGACGCATCCGCTGCTTTCTTGGCGGATTCATACAATTCCACCAACTCTTTCTCCATCGAACCCAGCCACTTTCTGTTTCACGAAAACAATCGAATTACGTAAAAAAAATTCAACGGAATATATGAAAACGGAGAAATAATGATGAAAGTGAAGAGTGAAACTCACCAGAATGGTACTTGTTGATGTTGTTTTCTGCGGCTGCGGCTGCGGCTGTGTTGGAAGTGAAGAGAAAGAAAAGAAAGGAACGGGAAATAACGAGGGGAAATATCTATAAACGGAGGATCATTGTGTATCAAAAAAGATCAGACGGTTAGCGATGCGTCTTGTGTTGTGTTTGTTATTTTAATTCAGATCATATTTTAATTCAATGAAATAAATCAATCTTTCCATATTTTCACTATTTATTTATGTTATATTTGTTATTTATTATAGATTGCTAGGTATTTGCGGTTAACGAAGATTTTTATTTATTTATTATAAGCTAGCCCAACAAAGAAAAAAACAAAATAAATTTTAAGTTTTTACACAAACAAAGCCAAACACACCCCGAAAATAAAATGGATCTGACTCGTTTGGCGTTTCTAATGTGTTCGTTCCGTCCTATTTTATTTTTTCCAGACAGTTGTAGACACAAACATTAATATAAATTATATATTTTTAACTTTAAAATATGTAGTGTCTGCGGGCCTGTCAGTTCTGCCTTTACTTTTAGTGTGAGGCGAGACAAGACTTTAGGCTTGCATCCTTAAGTATGCATGTTCTGCCTAGGAGAGTTCAAGTGTGATACGGTGGGAGAACTGACTTGGGTTTTGTGTTTGTTTTCGTAAATGTTTCGGTTGAGCAAGAGTCGCCACCGACTTTTTATTTTATCCTAAGGAAAGGTTAAAAAGCACAGCAAAAACCTTTGAGATGTTTTCTTGGGTTCGGGGAGTAGATTATAGAAAGGGAAGGTATTAGCACCATTTCTATCCATGGTTATCCATGGGCTCTTAGTTACTTGCTTAGATCACTTGCCTTATGTTTTCAATTGTTTGAAATGGTGTTTTGTGTGTGGGTTTGAAAATATTTTGAAAAGGGGCCATTTGTGGTGGCAACCTTTGTAATGATCCATGTTGGGATGTATACAAAGGTGTACTATCTTTTGAAAAGTTTTCAATGTTTTTGAAAGTTGTTTTGAAAGTGTGTTGTGATGTGTGTTTTTGAAAAGTAGGCAAGAATTGTTTTGCAAGTTGGTTCAAGTAACTAAGAGTTGTCTACCCCTAAATTTACTCAAAGGTTTTTTTCTATGTTTTAACCCTTTTAACAATTTTGTTCCACCATTGTATTTGATGGACAATCTTGTGTTAGGATGTTAACGGGACGGACGCGGGTCATCGTTTAGACCATGAATGCAATGGTGCCAAGTGTCTTTGAGCAATTTTTCCTTTAAGGGACTTGATCATTTTAGGCAACTTTCGAAAGCGTCATCGAGGGACTATGATCATTTGAATTATTTTGTTTTGCCAAAGACACCCAACATGCAACATGGCCCATTATTGAAGGCAACAAGTTGAGCAACCCTAGGGGTGCAAGTGTGATTGGTGTTGTCCATTTTCATGCTTTTTGTCTTTTGTTTAGTCAAGCTATTTTTTGTTTGATTTTTGCATACAAAACCCTAAGTCTATCATGGCATATTTAGAAAGCTTTTAAATGCGAAAAATAAAAGTCCTAAATTATTACAACACAATTATGGGATGGGGGGTACAAATGTTCAAATGGGGATATTTAGCAAGAAATTAAATCTAAACTATTACATCCAAATTGAATATACAAATTATTTAATTGCACAATAATTAAATAAAATACAATAAATATGCAAGATGCAAAAAATGATTTTATATGTATGTAAAAAGTATTTTTCATGTGACAAATAAACAAAAATAAAAAGGGTCAATTTTTGGGTATTTTTATGTTTTAGGGCAAAACCCTAATTTTGTAAATAAAAAAAGTATTTATTATTTATTATATACAATATTTATTAATTATATACACAAATAAATAAAAAGGAAGTATATTGTAAAAAAGTGATTTTTGAGGTCAAATATTAATAAAAATAAAAATGCATTATTTTTGTATTTTTTTCCCTAAATATTCTAATAAATATATAAGTATTTATATTATTTACTAAATATATTAAATATATACAAGAATAAAATATTTATTATTTACAAAAAAAAAAGTATATATTTTTTAGAAAATGTTTTTAAAAGATAAAATGAAATGAAATCAGAAAATAAAATGTATTTGTATTATTTTTAGTATTTTAAATAAAAGTGTATATGTTTATTTATATGTACAAATTCAAAATAAAACAAATAAAATCCAAATAAAATGCAAAAAATGTGAGAAAAATATTTTTAGTGTTTTTTCATGTTTGGATAAAAATATAAAATTAAAATCAAAAATGACAAATATATCATGCAATGGGCCAGGGGGGTGTATGTGGAAAAATGTGGTGTAAATAGAAAAAACAAGACAGGCCCAGCCTAAAGGACTTTGTCTTCAACCTCTGGCCAGATTCAAACAAAAACGCGCGCCTTCTTGTTCATCTCCCTAACTCTTGATTCTTTGATCCTTTGACAAATCTTAAAACATGAAACCTGTAGAGCTTGAAGCCACGATTCTAAACATATAAAGAAGTTAATCTAACTCTCAGAAATGAGAGAGAATTTCTTCTCCCCCAATTCCTGACCTAGCTTTTTCCCAATGTTCAGGTTCAAAATACTCTTAGCACACACAATATAAATGAAAAGTAACTACATGGATGGCTTCAGGGCTATGACTAGAACATGCTTTCTTCACAAACTTAAGCCTAAATATGCTTGGATAGAGAGATAGAAGTTCAAAAACTTACATGTTCAGCTTGAATCGTGTATGACAATGGAGGTACTTTCAATGCAATGTGAGGACTTGTATAGCTTGCTTGAAGTTCAGGGATGCTTCTCCAACCTCTAGCTTGCTTTGAAACTAGCTGAGTCGAGCTATGTAAGTTCACCTGCAAAGTTGAAAACTGAAAATGGTAAATGATATTAGGGATGTTACAGTTTGTGTTCAATGCTTGGGATAGCTTCAGTGGGTGATAGGGAATGTGTTTGCAAAGGTTTCAGCCAAAACGCACGAGTGGAAGTGTTTGTAGAAGTCAAGTTGTAGAAGGGACTCTATTTTTTGCAGTAGGATGGTGTTTTGATAAATGGTGAGGTTTGGAAGGTGGTTAGGTCGTGCCTTAGGTCTGGTTTGATGTTTGGAATATGCTCAAGAAGTTTGTTTAGGCTTGTTCTTACAGGAAGGAGAGTTGGTGTTCAATATGCAAGTTTCTTCTATCTTAAGCAAAAAATGACAAGTTAGGTTACAAGCTCCTCTAGGCCCCTCAAGTATGCTGAAAATGTTAGTCTTGATCAGTGGGATATATTCATACCTTTGTGCCTCAGAGATTTGCTTTGTACCTCTTAGATTGTAAACTTGACATAAAGTGTAACTTTACAAGAATAAATAAAATGCTTTTTCTAATTATGACTTAATTCTTCATGTAATGACCAAATGAGCAAAATAATGCTAGAACACAATGGATTGGCATTTAATTATTGAGTGTAAATGAGATTAGAGGCCTGTAATCTAGTTGTGCAAGCTGAGTTCAAAAATGCCTAAGTTATGAACATGTACATGGCTTATGAACAAAGTGACTTTTGCCCATATTGACAAATTCGATTCTCCCTAACCACAAGGGTGTTTGAGAAGTTCTTGGACAATTTGGAAAGCTTGGAATATGTACTACAATCCATCTTTGTAATGCAAGTTGAAATTCCAAGTGGAAGCATGTGAAAAGTGGCCATGAAGTTAGGCAAAAATCCTGCCTAGAATAGGTCAAAATTTTTCTAAGTTAAGAATGTTTTGCACCCTTGTTCCAAAAATCATAACTTGAGCTACAAGCTTCTTTTGAGGAAACTTTGTGAATAAAAGTTGTAGATATTGCAATGGACTATAACTTTCATGTTTTGAGTTTTGTTTGAATCCAAATGTATCTTGATGAAAAGATGGGACAAAGTTAGGAAAAAATTAGGAAATTTCATAACTTAGAAAATTTCTAAGTTATGAAATTTCTTCATTTCAAACCCTAATTTGTAATTTTTGGTTTCTTGATGAACAAGTTTCATAATTTGACATGTCTTGATGGAAAATGAATCTTGGCACTTGATTTTGACCAAAAAGTCAAAGTTTGACTTTTTAGTATACAGTCAAATTTTGCTCAGTTGATTTGGAAAATTCATCTGTCAATCTTGTGCAATTGGGACCTTTTGAACTTGTTGAATGTGTCAAGACCATGTCATTGAATCCTTGAGTCCATATGTGAGCTTGGTTTGCCATTGGCTAGGTCAAACAGTCAAAAATTGCCTTTGTGCAGTCAAAACCCTAAAAATGACCATTTTGCCCTTTTGGTGATCTGATCAAATTTCTTGTGGAATTTTGATCCAAACTTGACCAAATGGTTCATATGAGTTCATAATGTTGATGTGGGTCAAATTTCATGAGGTTTGACTGTCAATTGACCACAATTGACTTTTTCCCCAATACAGCTGATTTCTAGGTCAACTGTCCAATTGACTGGGCAAAGATTGGAATCAAGGCTTGAAACTTGGTATGGATAAACTTGTGAGTCCAACATGAAGCATGAAAGTCACTTTGGGCATTTTAGGTCAAAACATCTTTGTGCAAATTCAAACCCTAATTTGGGTCAACAGTGCAAGGAGGAGTCTTGAGCAGAGTAAACCCTAACTTGATCTTGAGCTCCAAGGGTCTTGGTATGAGAAAATGTTGAAGAAATGGGAGGGCAAATTTTGGGGTACAACAGTTTCCCCTGTTCAATCTTATTGAACCTGAAGAGTTAGATTGGCAAGTTTGCCTTTCGCGACTCGAGGGTAAAAGGAGATTGGACACTAGAGTGCCCGAAAATTTGCACTCGTATGCTGGAGTATCAGCAATGTGATGGCGGGAATGGGCTTATAGATGCCATTTGGAGAGATGGTGGATAGGAGGATGGGCTTATAGATTCCATCTGGAGACGTGACAGAACCTTGTCGGGAATGGGCTTATAGATGCCATTTGGAAGTGTTGATCGCGTAAGAGATTCCTTAGCGAGAACTTGTGTACTTGAGAAAGAAAGATGGTTTCCTGGCCTGTTACAGGTGTTGATCTTCAAACTCTTCATGCAGATATGCCCTGGCTAGGTACAGGCATCGAATCTACAATTAGTTGCTCACAAATGTGCCCTTGCTAGATACAGGAATTGAATCCGGAACTTCAAAAGGTTGCTTACAGACGTGCCCTGGCTGGATACAGGTATCGAATCTACAAACTCTTCATGTAGACGTGCCCTGGCTGGATACAGGTATCGAATCTACAATCAATTACTCACAGATATGCCCTGGCTAGATACAGGAATCGAATATGGAATTCGTCGTTTACAGATATGCCCTGGCTGGATACAGGTGTCGAATCTGGAATTGGTCGTCTACAGATATGCCCTGGCTGGATACAGATGTCGAATCTGGAAATTGTCGTCTACAGATATGCCCTGGCTGGATACATGTATCGAATCTGGAATGACAAAAGGTTGGTAGAGATGGCTTTCCTGGCTGGATACAGGTATAAACCTCTGACCTGAGAATGAAAGATAATTTCCTGGCCTGTTACAGGGGTTGATCTTCAAACTCTTCATGCAGATATGCCCTGGCTAGATACAGGAATCGAATCTACAATCAATCACTCACAGATATGCCCTGGCTAGATACAGGTATCGAATTTGGAATTGCGATAGTTGATAGTAATCATCTTTGGATTGACCTTTTCCTGAAAAGGCAAAACATTAGTTGTATGCAATGTCATGATGTATGAGATGCATGATGTCATGATGTTCTCAAGAATAAATAAGATTGTGTGATATGATGCGTATATGCATGTGTCATGGTGTATAAAATGTGGAATGTCTATGAATGTGTTTTCGACTAGGAAAATAAATCCTTGACAAGTGCCGGGAGTTTGTGGAATCCTGGGCTGATGTTGAAGAGTAAAGTTCTTCGTTTCCGCTGGGGATGATGGTTGTAAGAATAAACCGGTAGGAGAAGATGACTCCGTTGGGGAATAAACTTGTTGGAGAGATTACTCTGCGGGGAATTACTCTGTGGGAAGAGATACTTCACTGAGGTTTTGATGGGAGCTCCGCTGGGGATCCCACTAATAAGTTACATTGGGGAATTTGATGAACTCCGCTGGGGATATGAAGAACTTCGCCGAGGACGATCTTTCCGTGGTAATTAGCTGAGGATAACCCAGTTATAAGCCCTGATGGGAAA